ACGTGAGATCAATTCACACTCTCTATCACCGAACCAGCCAGAACAGTCGTAAGAATCGAAATCATATAGAGAGACAGTCGTGTCGATATTCGCGCATTGAACTTAGTAATATTTCAAGTTGTACTTATAATATTAAAGTTACATTATAATAGTGAAACCAAGTCGGTGTCGAATCATTTCTTAAAAGTGTCATCCTATCAGTTACCAGTTTCCATCAAAGTATCGTCGTCATTAATTTAAATAAATAACCGGGGTCGCGTATAGGACGTAACCGTTGAGGCCGTTTAAAATCATAGAAACTTTGAAATATCACTATTGAACATTTTTATTAAGAAAGTCGAGATTTTACAAATTATCGTAAACACCCATTGTTTTGCTGACAGCTGCATGGTCTAGTTACTTTTGATGCACCGGCTATTGAGGTTGTCTCTCTATGCAGTTGCACATCTGTGGCTTATCATGAGTGCAGTATAATAAGTGCAATATCATGTTATACTCATCGGACTTGTGACAGGGAATATTTAAGACTCTGTTGTGTATTTATTGATTGTTGCTTAATGAACTATGCTTCTGAGGTCGGGTGTGACGAGTGGTACAATTTTCACATGTTATTTGTTCATGATGTGTTGAACGTCATCCTGTGTGGTTATGTATACTCGAGGTGCATAATTCGTGCCGGGATGCGTTTTGACATTAATGAATAATTGTTATCACTGCTCGCATTGGGCAACGGTTATTGATATTATATAGTATTGTTTTTATTGATTATTACTTTGCTGAATTGACTGTGTGATTTATTTTTTGAACTTATTTTATGAACTATATTTTATATTATTCATGATGATTTTTATAACACTTAAATGGTTAAATATGTTAACCTATATATAGTGCAGAGAGATTCTTCTCATTATTTGATTGTTATATGCATATTATGTTTGTGACTGTGTTTATGGTACTGACTATGATAATCTTACAGGTTAACATACATGTCACGTGAGGAACCTAGTAATAGATGAGTCTATAAATTGAATGGATATTGGAACTGTATGGATCTACTAAGAGAGAATCGAGCATAGTAATTATCATGGAGTGGTACATCTGGAACGGGACATTCGTGTTTCAGGAATGGATTTTCAGCTTTCACGGGAGAAGGTTTTGCGTGGATTGGTGTCTATAGCTAACGCAATCTTTTAGACTTTCAATGTGAAATGGAAATGAAAATTATAATCACACACTACTTATATGATGATTATTAATTTAATGATTAAATAACTTAGTGATACATGGAAGGTAATCCATGATTTTGATATTTTCTTTTTCATTAATTGAATGGTGGATTATCCACAAGTTTTGCCGAGTAAATGAAACCGTAGTGAATCTATATATGAATTATTGAGAACTATAAGAGGGAATTTATTTTATTCTTTCTCTTTGATATAATGTATTCCAGATCGATAATTTCTCATTGAAATTTCTAATAATTATGTTACGTGTATATATTGATTGTTTTCCTGAAAGGACTATATATGTTTATAATGATAAGGGCTAATTAGTATTGTTGCCAACCTATATTTAGACGTTTTATATGAAATTAAGTGAATTGAACTTTGATCGTTCACTTTTATCCATTTGAAGTGATATTTCTATAACGATTATCTTAATCAATATCTGTGCTGGATGAGGAATACATGTAATGTAAAGCAATCTAGTCTACACACATTATGTGTACATATACTGATTATTGTTCCTAAAAGTGGTGCACCTACTTGGAATATACATGAACTTTAGTTTATAATTAATTCAGTTATTTTAATACAACATATATTTTGAATTGGAATCAAGGTTCCTCACTTATTAGCATGGCGAAAGCTGTGAATGTCGTTGCTATTACTACTTTGCAATGATGATATATAATTACATATGCATATTATTGCTTTGAGATGGAATTTATTTATGAATTGAACTTCGTTTATATATTTTATATTGACTAATGTTTTGAAAGACCCATATTAAATGATGCGGACGTAATTACTTAACGAATTATTCTGAATTAAACTTGTTTATCTCTGATGAGGAATATATGGAACATTTATTATGTATATGATGTCACACATGTTGAAAGTGATATATATATAGATCAATTAATTAGAGGAAGAAATATTCTGAATGTAATATTACGCTGAATGTGCGAAGTTGTCTTGATTGGATGTTCATTTTATGTTAAGTAGTACTGTTGCGTAAGGTCATATGATTAATTTATGTTGAATAATTAATATATATACTGATTAAGTATAATTAGTGTCTGACGTAATAATATCTGGAACTTAAGTGAAATAAGTGATATTAATAGCAATTGTTATACTTACCTGTTGTTATTGACTTGAGAATAGATATCAAGGAAATGGATGGACTTCGATATGGCAAGATGATACACGATGTATATAATTACGTATATTTGACGTGATATTTATATATGTTTGTGATAACAACTGCAACGGATCATAACTCTTCTGAATCTACATATAGGGTTCGTATAGTTAAAATTGGACTATTAAGTTAATTGACAATAAATAATAAATGAACATGTTTGTGTGATGTCTGGGGAAGAAATTCTTTATCCTGCCTGTCTTGTTGTCTGCATTTTGGTCTGCATACATCTAAAATATGTAATTAATAATTATACTAATGGAAGGTTTATATAAAGATTAATAGATTATTTTATATTGATACTTATATGCCTGTGCATAGTAATCTTATGTTGGCCATGAAGCACCGAAGTAATCTGAAACATAATTCAATTTGATATGATTATAATCATCTTAAACTAGGACAAATTATGGAATTAATAGCATTTTGATTAAGGACAATAATGATGCTGTGTTTCTTGGACAATAAGAAATGCTAGTTAAGTGAAGCAATTGCTTAGGAATATTGACTGTGCTGTATAAGAACTAAATAAGAAAGAACTTACATGAACTTTATATTGTTTTAATAACATATATAGTGGCCTATAGCTACAAGGTTTTGTTTTTCTTTAGAATTATGAAGTTAATGATCTGAACTTATTATTGAATATTAAATATACCTAAATTTGATTGGAATTAGCTAAATTGAATATATTAAGTGAATTTTGTGATATACTGAAATATTAGATATTGAACTTTGTCTGTTGTAATCATTCTTGAGGTAATTAATTACTTTATATAGTGAATATAATAAGGCGGAATGGATACTGTTTTCGATTCTATTGTCAAGAATAGAGTGGGACGTTTTCGGAAATAGTGGAATATTAATATACACAGTCTCACCAAGAGAAGGAAAACTCTTGTCAATAAAACCAAGGCAAACTATATATGGACATGGACAAGGAAAAGGAATTAACCGTCTCAGCTTCGGATACTGAGAACCGGCACGTGGGGGGTATCGTCCCTGCCCCCCACGGGTCGTCATCCTGCGAAGGGCTGACCTCCCTGTCCGCGGCGAGCGGGGGGTGTCGACCTGCTATCGCCAGCGTCGAACTTTTGGGCACATCGATCACCGTTTTACCGGTGAAACATAAGCCCAAGGACATTTCTCTGAGTGATAGTGAAGCTGGTCCCTCTGGAGTGTATGGAGATGTCATGGTCATTTCGGATGATGAGGATGGTTTTAATCCGTCCTCTGTATGCAGAACGGAATATTCTGAGGAGGAACTTAATCTTTCAGGTAGATCTTCTGGCTCCCTGAAACAAAAAAGTAAAGGTAAAGCTAAGTCTGTCTCTGCCACTTCTGGCAGAAAAAGGAAGAAGAGAGACTCTCCCCTTAATGATGACGAAGAGACAGAGGAGGATAAATATGCTGTCCACTTTTCCGTTGATAACAGACGGAAGATTGATGAAGAGATGGCCGGTTTGGTTTTGGAACACGCTCCACAGCTCAACCTAAAAATTCATGAGATGACTGAAAAAATAGACTCCATTAGGGTAAGATCCTCTGGAATTAAGGGTACTTTCAGTGGACAGATAAAGGTTCTACTGGAAGTTATCCGGAAAACGAGCGATCTTCTGTCGCAAAAAGCCACCTCAAATGAGGATCCCGAATACTGGAGGGCTAAGTACTATGCCATGGAAAAATCGGCGAGTGACAGCAAGCGAAAATTAGATGTACTAGATGTTGAATTGAAGAACCTAAAAAAAAGAGAATTGATTAAGGACACATATAACTTTGATATAAACAATAGCGACGTACCTGTGGAAACGGATGGTTATTCTGAAATTGAGGGCCTGGTTATGACTCCCTCCATCAAAGAAAAGCTGCGTAGTTCTACGAAAATGAGTACAAGTGCTTATAAAGATAGAGAAGTGATCTTGGCTAAGGGAAAGCCCCGTCCTGACGAGTGTGATTTGCGTGGTGCTTCTGAGAGTCGAGTCGAGCTCGACTTAGCTATTATACGCTCCCTGGATAGACTAGGGGACGGTATGGCGCAACTCATTCGAGAGACGAGGCTCTTGAGGGAGGATTTGAACTCTGGTGGATCTAGGGCGGACGACTTCCGATATCCTGGTCCCTCCTCTGGTATACCTACAAAAAAGAAAGGTAAGAGCGGAAACTTAAGTACCTCTAAGGAAGAGAAAAGCTACGCAAAGGTTTTAGGTTCAAAATCGCTGCTAAAAAATCTTAATTCTAAATCGGTAAACAACCAACCTCCGAATGCCCCGAGTGGTAAATCACGAGCAGCAATAAATCCGGTTGACACTGGAACTAATTCTGAAATAAAAAACAGATCAGTTTCTAATATAAATACAAATAATAAAACTAGTTATAATAGTGGTATTGATATTACTAGTATGAGTGATGACGATATATTAAATAACTTTGTGAAAGTAAATAGTAAAAACATTGATTGGTCTGTTTCGCGGAGCAAGAAGAGCCTCTGTAAGAGGAAAAGGGTTAGTCAAAAGTCTACCCCCATTGCAGATTATACACAGTCGGATATTAACAATGAAAATGAGTTCAATAATGATAAACAAATCGATAGTGAATCTGGTAATGTGAATTCCACTGGAAGAAATAATAATCTTAGTACTTCTAAAAATGATAATAGGAAATTTCTTAACTTTAAAGATAAAGTCTCTAATTTGAAGAGGAAAGTGCCGCGCACCTCTGCAATTTCCATTTTTATTGAGGATCCTGATATTACTTACGCTGAGGTGATTGGATTGGCTCGAGAAAAGATCTCCTTGTCCGATCTAAATATTAGTGACACGAAGATCAAAAGATCAATTACCGGTGGTGTCATTATTGAAATTCCTGGAGAAAATTCAGATCTAAAAGCCGACCTTCTACTTAATAGTTTACATTGTTTATTTAAAGACAGACGTGGAGTTAAATTTCGAAAGCCAATTAAAACCTCACAAATTAAATTATTGGGTCTAGATGACTCTATAACGTTAATAGAAATTAGTAAAATCCTCGCGGAGATAGGTGCTTGTTCACCTAGCAGTATCTCCTGCAGCCCGATACGATTTGTTCGTGGGGGCTTGGGTGTGTCGTACGCGAGATGCCCAATTTCTGCCTCGGTGCGTATCCTGGAGGCGGCAAGGATCAGTATTGGGTGGACGACCGTTAGAGTGGAGCCGGTCGACCCCAAGCCTCTGCAGTGCTTCAGATGCCTTGCGGTTGGTCACACATTGCAGCGCTGTACTGAGCCGAAAGACAGGAGATCGTGTTGCTTCAAATGCGGAGACACGGACCATGTTTCTTCTTTATGTAGAAATAGAGTTAAGTGTCCTGTGTGTATTGATAGGGGCCTTAGGGCCGACCACTTAGCTGGCTCTGTGCACTGTAAACCTATTCCACCTGGAAAGGCATTAACACATAAGACTATTATAAATAAAGAACATAATATTGCTCACTTAAATACCCTACCTGCTATGCTCACGGAGGAACGGAGGCCTCTGGATACGGCGGAGCCTCCTGCTTCTGCCTCTGAAATGGAAACAACTGTTTATTAATGGTTAATATACTCATCTGTAACGTTAACCATTCGAAGGCAGCCCAGGATAACCTGAGCCATCTGATGCACGAGTATAACGCGGGGGTGGCTATCTTGTCGGAGCCACACTCAATACCAGTGGGGGATGACAGGTGGGTGCAATCTGACGATGATCCTCCCTTATCCGCAATTTTGTGGCGTAACGTTTCCGGCTGCTTCCTTCCTATCAGGCCGTTGGAGCGTGGGTCCGGTTTCTGTGTGGCACGGTGGAATGCATTTATTATTATCAGTTGCTATTCTTCGCGAAATATCTCAAATTATGATTTCAATGGATTTTTAGACAATTTATCTCTTATAATTAGTAAATATAAAAAATGTCCGATACTTGTTTCTGGCGACTTTAACGCTAGACACGCTGACTGGGACCCGAAGCAGTCGGATTTGCGCGGATCATATCTTAGAGATTGGATGGAGCAAAATAACTTGTTTCTATTAAATAAAGGTTATGTTTATACCTGTGACAGATGGCAGGGTAAATCTGTCATAGATTTGGCCATTGCCAACCCACTAGCTAGGCGAAGTATTATAGATTGTTCTGTGGAGACTAAGGCCGGCGTCACATAGAACCCGTAATCCGTAATCCGCACCGGAAGTCCGCAAAAGTTACTAGGGATTGCGTCCGTAACGTTACGTGTGTTTTATCTCCTTGTGTCCCATGGAGCCGTAATTCCATGAAATTTCCGTAAAAGTTACTAAAAGTTACTAGTTATTACTAGTAATGCTTTTTTTAATTTTATTTATTTAACTAAATTTGACGATTTAATTAAAATTTTTGTTAAAATTATAATATATTCTGTAGTTTTCTTATGAATAAAATACAAATAAACAATTATAATCTGTTAAATAAAAAATAGTAATACCGTTACGTGTGTATTTACGGCTCCATGGGACACAAGGAGAAAAAACACACGTAACGTTACGGACGCAATCCCTAGTAACTTTTGCGGACTTTCGGTGCGGATTACGGATTACGGGTTCTATGTGACGCCGGCCTAAGGTGGTCACCCTGTCTGACCATAGACTAATGAGAATAGAGATTGGCGCGCAGGGCCGGAATGATGTTTAGAGCCATTAATAGGAAATTTATTAAATGGAACTACCGAAAATTGGATGTAGATTTATTATCTGCCGGTTACATCGGTATGCGGTGGTCTTTGGAGTCAATGAATCTGACTTGTGCGCGCTTATTGATTCAGTGGTTGGGTGACTCCCTTCGTACTATCTCGGACTTTGCTATGCCGCGGAATAGGGGATCCTCTAGAGAGTCTGCTTACTGGTGGAACGAAGAGGTAGCGACCTCTCGGCGCTCGGTCGTGCGAGCGAGAAGGAGGCTTTCGCGCGCTAAAAAGAAGGATATACCTTCCACAGTTAATAAGGCATATAGAATCTATAGATTATGCTTGCGTGAATATAGATTGAAGATTTTCAGAGCTAAAAATGAAGCGTGGAGAGAGCTTCTTTCTGATTTGAACAATAATCCGTGGGGTCTCCCCTATAAAATAGTGACCAAAAAATTGAAGCCCGTTTCACACTCGATTTGCGAGGTTCTCTCTCACTCTATTGTAGAAAATATCGTGAACGCTCTTTTCCCGGATGATACTGAAGAACATGTATCCATTAATCCTCTTTCTGATTTTGTTTGGCTTGAAGACTTTGAGGTTAGCTCGGCGGAACTCTCGCGAGCCTTTAGGAAATTCCGTGGTAACAGGAGGGCTCCAGGACCGGACGGAGTCCTTGGTGGCATTATAGCGGGTGGTGCGGGACACTTCATGGAGGTCTGGAGAGCCTGTTTTACCGCGTGTCTTAAAGAGGGCGTCTTTCCTACAGCTTGGAAGACAGCTAAACTAGTTCTAATTAGAAAAAAAGATGGAAACCCAGAAGATCCGGGAATTTACAGACCAATCTGCCTTTTGGATGAGTCTTCCAAGCTGTATGAAAGAATTATCGTCTCTCGATTGTGCGATCACTTAAGTGCGACTGGTTTCCTCTCTGATAACCAATATGGCTTCAGGGAGGGCCGGTCGACTATTGATGCTATCCTCGAATTAAAACGCCTGGTTTGTGAGGGTACGAGTGCAAACAAGGTTGTTATTGCGGTGTCGTTTGATATCAAGAATGCGTTCAATTCACTACCGTGGAGAGTGATTCGCTCGGCTATGGCCTCCATGGAGTTCCCTAGCTATCTTTGCAGGGTTATCTCGGATTACCTGTTAAATAGAAGTCTGGTCTATGTTGACTCTGAGGGCATTGTTCGGAAGCGAGGTGTGTACCGCGGTGTTCCGCAGGGCTCGGTCTTGGGACCAACCCTGTGGAACATCGGATATAATAGTGTTCTCGGTCTGGCTCTTCCGTCGGGCTGTAATATGATTGGTTACGCGGATGATACCATTCTGGTCGTCTCTGGTAAGAGTATCGGGGATGCGTCTCACCGTTCGATGGTCGCTTCCGCTCTTGTGGTGAGAGAGATAGAAAGACTCGGTCTTGAAATCTCTCCCCATAAGACGGAGGCGATGGCTTTTCCGGCCTCTGCAGTTGGGCATGGCTCCCATAAAAAATTAATTATTAAAGACAGAGAGGTTCTTATTGCCCCCACATTTAAGTATCTTGGCATTATACTGGATGGTGACTGGAGTTTTACTCCACATTTTGAAAAAATTTACAATAAGGTAGACAAAACTGTGGGATACCTCAGGGGAATTATGCCCAACTGCAGAGGTCCGAATTTTAAAGTGAGAAAACTCTATTTAAATGTTGTCTTGTCGATGATCCTATATGGGGCCCCAGTATGGTCGGTCTCTCTAGGGGAAAACCGTAGGGCCAAGTCTTTAATGGTGAGACTCCTGCGCAGAGTTACACAGAGAGTCTGTTGCGCATACCGCACCGTTTCTTTTGTTGCGGCATCTTTAATTTCTGGGACTCCGCCCATTGAGTTCCAGGCGCGTAGATTGGCGTTCCTCTATCATAGAACTAGACGTGCGATTGAGAGTGGTGAGGAAATCCCTCCTGGTGCCAGAATAAAGTGGCACCAGGAGGCGATGGAACGGGCGCTGCGGGACTGGAGGGTGAGTTTGATAAATTTGAGCCGTACTTACCTCAGTCTTCGTCTTCGGCAGGCGTTGGTTGACAGGCTCTTAGATTGGGTGAATAGAAGGCATGGATGGGTCACGTTTCATATGACCCAATTCCTTACAGGCCACGGGTGTTTTAATGAGTTTCTGCACAGAATTCGGAAAGCTGATTCGGCTATATGTTTTCATTGTTTTGATGCTGTTGATACCGCTCAACACACCCTTCAGTTTTGTAGCGCTTGGGCCGCTGATAGAGATGCACTAACTCAGGTTATTGGAGGTCAGTTGGATCTTCCATCCATTATTGACTCCATTTTAGAAGATAATGATAAGTGGAAAGCCTTCTCTCTCTTTTGTACGAAAGTACTTACCCGTAAAGAGGTGGCGGAAAGAGAGAGACAGGCTGAGAATAGAAACCGCATAATGGGTCACCTTGATTCGGAAATCTCCGAATAATGTAAATATATGTATATATATGTTTCTTGCGGCACGGTAATTAATTATTTACTTACTCTCTTCTTTTTCTTATGTTTATATCTTTAATTGATTAATTTTTATATTGATTAGGTTATACTCACCCTTACATTTTATATTTTATACTTACCTTTTGTAATTCCCGTATTATTTGTTGGAGTCTTTTTAGAAGGCATTCCCGAGGGGGAGGTAGAGAAATGCTCTAGTTAGTAAGCCTACCTCCCTCTCAATCAAGGGCCTGATAGGCATGAGGTGAGTTTTTAGCTGGTAGGCGGTCGAGATAACTAGCTTTAGCATAGCTAGTTTGGATTGCACAAAAATATATAATGCTAAAGCTAGTTTGATACATTAAGCAATCTATGTCGCTCTGGAATACGCACGAAAGTTTTATTATTTTTATTTTACACAGGGTATTCCGCCCCCCCCCGCAGGGGGGGCGGAATACCCTGTGTCTACGCAAAGCAAGGTCCATAATTATACTATTTTATATGGGTTTGCGACTTGCAATTTATGATTATCCGCGCACAATTCTGTTACAACGCATGCGCGCCTGACCGCAGCGTATGCTCACATCGCTATAATTCGTCAAAGTGACAGGTTTTCTAACCTGAAAAGTCGTCAACTTTGACGCTTAATATCTCGTCTCCTGGGACAGAGCGACATTTTAGTAAAAGGAAAAAGTTTTTAAAAAAAAACGACATCGAATGAGACCAGTTGGGTCAAAATCGGAGGTGACGTGGCTATTCTGCATAATTACCATTTATAGATTTACAGACTCAGTTATTTCCAATTGTTTCTGGCTGTTTATTATGTGTACTGATTGTGATATTTTTCAGGTTATCTGCTATACATATTGCTTGTCATAGTGGTTACGGGAAATTATGGAATGGATTCAATGATAATTACTGTGAGCAGATATAAATAATACCTGAAATAAGCTGAATACAACATCGATGGAAGAGGCTCCTTGTATTTAGTGATGCGTGCCTACAGTAAGATAAAAATATAAATGTTGGTGTGCATAGAGTCGCAAATATAAAACAAGGATCTATTAAACAAGGAACTATTAAATAAAAGTGAATACACATAAGCTTGCCGTGTTAATCGGACGCTTTTGTGATATTTCTGAATAAATAGTTGAAGTGATTGAGTTATGAATATTTACAATAAGAATAGATAGTTATTGATATCTGAACACATATAAATGTGATGGCAGAATTGTTTATAGATTACATTGAAACTATAACAAAGTTCCTTGTATTATTGAGTGGCATGTATTAGAATTAGGGAATAGTTTGATTTGGTGTTTTACTACCTATTCGTGTAAATATTGTTCCCATATTAGAGAGCTGGAAACCTGGTGATTCAATTACATTGTATAATAGAGTGTTGAATTATAACTTGTTTTATTATATTACAGTTATAGATATACCTTATTGATCAAAATTGAATTATATATATTATGTTATGATAAGTATAGATCGATTTGAGTTATTTTCTAGCTTATTACTATTGAACTATTTAATTATATAAATATGATGATGTGCAGATATAATAGACTGTGATGATTGAGAGATCAGCTGTATTATAGATATATACAATTTAAAAGTGTAATTGATTATCTCTAGAAATATTAGATAAGTGAAAACAGATAGGTTTTTAAACTCTGTAATGTTTTCTGATATTTGGATTGATATGTTATTTTGTATTGTGTACTGGTTTGTGTGTTAATTGTGAACATGAATATTTCAATGAAGATCTATAAATAGCTATCCGGAAGATTTGATTATCACTATTGATTATTGACTATGTCTTTTCATATACGTATAACTGTGGTTTTGAAAGAAAATGAATGATCTTGATTTAGACTTTTAATGTTTTATTATTGTGTGTACAACTTTGGGGCACATTTGTTGTGGATATTTCAATAAATAAATTAATATTGGGTGAAGTGAGTTCTTCCTTCTTTTCTTATATACTCTGCTGTCTACGAACCTGAAATAAGTGAATAGATGAAGAAATGGAAATAAATAAAGAATATTGAACACTGTATGAAATATGGTTTACTTACTGTAATTTGTATATAACTTCGGACATTAGCGTCATTTAGCATCACTATTGAATGGTACACCTGAAATATAGAAATAACTAATTTGGATTTATTTTAGGTGATCAATTGCCTATATAAGAATACTATAATAGTTTAACTGATTATGATATAAACACTTATTGAACTTATTACTATTACACTATTTGTCTTTAAAATAATGAAATGCAACAGGAAAAAAAAAAAAAAAAAAAAATACTACTATACGATTCTATTAACATAAATAGATTTGTGGGACAATTTCGATAGTGGTATATAATTACTTTCTAGTGTCTCACCAAGAGAGGTGATACTCTTGTAAATTAAACCAAGCTATACAAAATGGACATGGACAACATAACGGAACAAAACGTCTCAGGTTCGGATTCTGAGAAACGGCACGTGGGGGGTCTCGTCCCTGCCCCCCACGGGTCGTCATCCTGCGAAGGGCTGACCTCCCTGTCCGCGGCGAGCGGGGGGTGTCGACCTGCTATCGCCAGCATGGAGAGGCTTGGTTCCTCAATCACGATTTTACCGCTGAAGAAAAAGCACAAGGCCCCCTCTGGATGTGAAAGTAAGGCTGGACCCTCGGTAGTTTCGGAGTCCATCGTGATTGAATCGGATGAGGAGGGCGGGTTTGATCCGGCTTCCCTGTGTACAGTGGATCACTCGGATACGGAGGATATGGCTGCCTCTGGCGGTTCCTCTGGTTTCTCGAGACAAAAAAGAAAAGGCATTAATAAGGATAAGATAATTGCTACTTCTACCAACAGGAAAAGGAGAAAGAGAGGTTCCCCCTACAAGGATGAAGAAACTGAGGATGATAGATTCGCGGTACATTTCTCAGTGGACAATAGAAAGAAAGTTGAAGATGAGATGGCCGGCCTACCTCTTGAGCACGCTACTCAACTTAATCAAAAAATTAAGGACATGACAGACAAAATAGACTCTATTAGAATGAGATCCCCTGGCATCAAGGGCTCGTTTAGCGGGCAAATTAAGGTCTTCTTGGAAGTAATACGGAGAACAAGTGACCTCATGTCCATGAAGGCCTCCTCGATGGAGGACCCGGAGTTCTGGAGGGCCAAATATTACGATATGGAGAAGTCTGCAAAGGACAACAAACGCAAATTAGACCTCATAGAAGTAGAGCTAAAAGAATTAAAAAGAAGAGAACAAATAAATGACGCCTACGATCTTGATTCTCACAATAAGGACTTACCTTCGATGTCGAACAATGGAAATAATAACAGCAAATTGGATGTTGTTCCTTCCATCATTGGTAGTCTCCGCAGTGCTTCTGAAACAAAATTAATCAAAGACAGGATAGGAATTTCCAACAAGAAATATCTTTTAAATAGTGATAGTGATACACGAGAACCCGATGTAAGTCGGGTGGAAATTGACCTTGCGATCATCCGCTCTTTGGACAGACTGGGAGACGGTATGTCGCAGCTCATCCGGGAGACAAGGCTTCTCCGTGAGGACCTCAATTCGGGCGAGGGTAGGACGGATGAGTTCCATTATCCTGGGTCCTCCACAGATTTCACTGGAAAACGCAAAGGTAAGAACAAAAATATCAATAAATCAATCCCTCAATCGAGAGAGGGGAAAAGCTACGCTGAATCTTTGGGCTCCAAAGTGCCATCTGGCAGCTCTGCTAAATCTAAAAATGTCCAGAGTGTAAAAAATAAAGTGAGTCGAAGCGCAGTGATTTCGTCAGATGCTGAAAATAAACCGGTTAAGAAATATAGTAAAACTATGTTTGTGTCTAATATCAATAATGGTAATAATATAACTAAAAGAGTGGACATTGTTAGCATGAGCGACGAGGACATTTTGGAGAACTTTGTAGCTGTGGATGATGGGGAGATCGAGTGGTCTGTCCCTCGTAATAGAAAAAGCATCCGCAAGAGGAAAAAAGTTAGCTTGAAATCCACCCCCATCAAAGTCAGTACCCAATCGGATACTAATCCGGAATATGAGACTATTTATGATAAATATACCGCGGGGGATATAAAAAGAAATGCGAATAACGAAATTACTACTATCGATAGGCATAATAATTGTATTAATTCGGATAATATTAATAGGAAAAAACCTGATAATAGAAGTTTTAAAGATAAAGTCGAAAATCTTAAGAAGAAGGTGCCGCGCACGTCGGCGATCTCTATTGTGATTGATGGTGCCGATATTACATATGCGGAGATAATGAGATTAGCACGGGAAAAAATCTCGCTGTCGGACATGAACATTAGTGATACAAAGATAAAAAAATCAATTACGGGGGGTATTATCATTGAAATCCCGGGAGAAGATTCGGATTTGAAAGCGGAGTTACTTTTAAATAGTCTTAAAAAAGTTTTTAATAATATAAATAGAATTAAATTTAAAAAACCATCAAAAAACTCACAAGTAAAACTCGTAGGTCTCGATGACTCAATAACAACTTGTGAAATAACTAAAATAATCGCGGAAATAAGTAAATGTTCTCCAGACAACGTATCATGTAGCCCGATAAGATTTATTCGCGGGGGTCTCGGGGTGGCATATGTGAGATGCCCGATCGCGGCGGCCGTGAGCATCCTGGAGGCCGCAAGGATCAACATAGGTTGGACGACCGTAAGAGTGGTACCGGTCGACCCGAGGCCCCTACAGTGCTTTAGGTGCCTCGCGGTTGGCCACACGCTGCAAAGATGCCCAGAGGGAAAAGACAGGAGAGCCTGTTGCTACAGATGTGGAGGTGTGGACCACAAATCCTCTGCCTGCAAAAACAAGGTTAATTGTCCAGTTTGCACTGACAGGGGCCTAAGGGCGGATCATCTGGCCGGCACCACGTCGTGTAAACCCATTCCTCCTGGGAAAATATTAGAAAATAAGTCTGATGTAAATAAAGATAATGCTTCTGCTGGTGGATCTAATAATAATAATTCCTTACCTGTACTAATCAATGAGGGACGGTGACCTCAGGATGAAGCGGAGCCCTCTGCTTCTGAAATGGAAATAGAAAAATAATTATAATTATATTATGTTAAACAAGGTAAACACGATAAACATACTTATCTGCAATCTAAATCACTCGAAAACGGCACAGGATAACCTATGCCAATTAATGCACGAATATAATGCTGGTGCCGCAATCATTTCGGAACCACACTCGATTCCAAAAGAGGATGACAGGTGGGTACAATCGGCGGATGAGCCTCCTCTTTCCGCTATATTATGGCGTAGAGTTCCCGGCTTATTTCTTCCAATTAGACCATTGGAACGCGGATACGGCTTCTGTGTGGCGAGCTGGAACAAACTGGTTATTTTCAGTTGTTACTCCTCTCGCAATATTGCTAATTATGAATTTAACGGGTTTCTGAATGAACTATCTCTAATAGTTAACAAATACAAACACTGTCCGACACTAGTTATCGGAGATTTTAACGCCAGACATTCCGATTGGGACCCGAAACAATCGGATTTGCGCGGTTATCATCTTAGAAATTGGATGGAGGAGGCTAATCTATTTTTATTAAATAAAGGTTATAATTACACATGTGACAGATGGCAAGGCAAATCTGTCATAGATTTAGCGTTTGCCAACCTACAGGCGAAAAAAATTATTAAGAGCTGTACCGTAGAAACTAAGGTGGTCACCCTGTCCGACCATAGACTGCTTCGTTTAGAGATTGGCTCGGGTAGAGCGAGAGAGACATTCAAAACTATTAATAAAAAATTCGTTAAATGGAATTATCACAAACTAAATCTAGATTTGTTAACGGCTGGCTCTCTCGGCTTGTCATGGTCGCTGGATTTAACTAGTATGAATTCCGCACGCCTATTGGTGGAATGGCTGGGTGACTCCCTTAAGAGTATTTCAGATCTCTCTATGCCGAGAAGCAAAGGCTTCTATAGAGAGTCTGCTTATTGGTGGAATGAGGAGGTGGCGACCTCTCGTCGAGCGGTTATGCGGGCGCGAAGAGGTCTCTCTCGAGCGAGAAAGAAGGGAAATCCTACGCTTACAAACATAGAATATAGGAAATATAGAGTATCCCTGCGGACCTATAGGCTAAATATTATCAGAGCCAAAAACGGAGCGTGGAAGGAACTTTTGAATGATATAAATAACAACCCGTGGAGTCTTTCTTACAAAGTAGTTATGAAAAAGTTAAAGCCTGTTGCACATCCGGTGTGTGAGACTCTCTCTCACCCTGAGGTGGAAAACATCGTAAGCGTTCTTTTTCCGGATGATAGTAGAGAACATATATCTGCTAACTCTCTCCCACGCTTCGTCTGGTTGGACGATTATTCTGTCAGCCTGGCGGAACTATCGCGGGCTCTTAAAAAATTGCGTGGTAATGGAAAGGCTCCCGGGCCAGATGGAGTCCTTGGAGGCATCATCGTGGGTAGCGCGGGAAGTTTTATGGAGGTCTGGCGAGCCTGTTTTAATGCGTGTCTCAAGGAGGGGGTCTTTCCAGCAGCTTGGAAGATCGCCAAATTAGTTCTAATTAAGAAGAAAGATGGAATGTCTACAGATCCTGGAATTTATAGGCCTATATGCCTATTGGATGAATCTTCCAAGCTGTACGAAAGGATTATCGCCTCTAGACTGGTGGATCACCTGAGGTCGACCGGTTCCCTGTCTGACAATCAATTTGGTTTCAGGGAGGGGAGGTCGACCTTGGATGCAATCCTGGAACTTAGACACTTAGTTCATGAGGAGACCGAAGCAGGTAATGTCGTCATCGCGATATCTTTCGACATAAAAAATGCATTTAACACACTACCGTGGGGTGTCATTCGCTCGGCCATGGCCTCCATGGAGTTCCCGAGTTATCTCCGTAGGGTTATTTCCGATTACTTAACAGACAGAAGTCTGGTTTACATTGACTCTGAGGGTATCGTGCGAAGGCGGGGGGTGTACCGCGGTGTTCCGCAGGGTTCGGTTCTTGGACCAATCCTGTGGAATATAGGGTACAACAGTGTATTCAGCATGGACCTTCCACTTGGTTGTCATATTCTGAGATACGCGGACGATACAATTCTGATCGTTTCGGAGAAGAATTTTGAGGCGGCATCCCACCTTGCGATGGTTGCGTCAGGCATGGTAGTAAGAAAAATAGAAGAACTTGGCCTTAAAATCTCACCGCATAAAACGGAGATTACGGCTTTTCCGGCCTCTGCAGTTGGGCATGGTTCCCATAAATTAATTATTAAAAACAAGGAGGTGATTGTTGCTCCTACCCTGAAATATCTCGGAGTTATATTGGATGGGGACTGGAATTTTACACAACATTTTGAAAAGCTCTATATCAAAGTTAATAAAACGTTGGGTTACCTTAGGGGAATCATGCCCAACTGTAGAGGCCCCAATGAGAGAGTGAGAAGGTTGTATCTAAATGTGGTTCTCTCAATGTTGCTCTATGGCGCACCGGTTTGGTCGGCCTCATTGGGGGAGAACCGGAGGGCGAGGACCTTAATGCAGGGGATATTGAGAAGGATCGCGCAAAGAGTGTGCTGCGCTTACCGCACAGTATCCTTTGTGGCGGCGTCCTTAATATCCGGGACTCCACCGCTTGAATTTCAGGCGCGTAGAATGGCTATTGTCTATTTTAAAACCAGAAGTGCTACTGAGGTTGATGAGGAGATCTCTCCCGGTACCAGGGCATTGTGGTACCTGGAGGCGAAGGAACAGGCGCTGTCGGACTGGAGGGAGAGCTTGTCGAAGCTGAATCATACCCACCCCAGCTTCAGGCTCCGCGAAGCCCTTGTTGATAGACTGAAAGAGTGGGTTAATAGAAGACATGGATGGGTCACCTACCACATGACCCAATTTCTAACGAACCACGGGTGTTTTAATGAATTCCTGCATAAAATTAGGAAAGCAGATTCCGCAATCTGTTACCACTGTCTCGATGCTGTGGATACTGCTCAGCACACCCTCCAGTTCTGCAGCGCTTGGGGCGCTGAGAGAGCCGAATTGACGCGGGTTATAGGGGATCAATTGGACCTCCCGTCCGTTATAGAATCTATCCTAGACAGTATGGATAAATGGAGGGCCTTCTCTGTCTTTTGCACAAAGGTACTTACCTATAAAGAGGCGGTGGAAAGACAGAGACAGGCAGCGAACCGGAAACAAATAATGGGCCATATGGACTCTGAAATATCGGAATGAAATCACTAATATAATCTGATTTGGCAAATTGGTTCTAGTTTTTTAGATTTAGTATTATTACTATCACTATCACTATTACTATTATTATTGCCATTACTATTGCTGCATATTGCTTTTGGAGGGTGACTCGGGTGCCTTTTACATGCTATTAATAGTAGGTATTGGGTACTGGTGTCGCGTACATGTATAGAGATTTTTATCGCTCGGACCGTATTTGTTGCTGGTTATTTTTATCTGTTGAGTAGTATTGAGATGAGTAAGTTACCTTACTTCACCCGTAATGTAGCTATATTCTCTCCTTTGATAATTCCCGACAATTTATTATTAGAGCCTTCTTAGAAGGCATTCCGGGGGGAGAGGCGGAGATATGCTCTAGTTAGTAAGCCTGCCTCTCTCCCATGTAAGGGTCTGCTAGGCATGAGGTGAGTTTTTAGCTGGTAGGCGGTCGAGATGCGTGGATGGTTCTGTTTGGCCGGTGGATTCGTCATCTCCGTCCCTTCCCTCAGCATCGAATGTTTCCGTTCCGCCTGGAATGTTGGATGCGGGTTGGGATAGGGGGTATGGGGAATTCCTTACTGGTCAGGAACAGAAATTCCCGGAAACAAGTCTCGGTCGAATCCAGCACTACCCTGGACCGGGCCAGGGTGTCTTTTGAAGATTTTCTCATCTCGGAAAAAAAAAAAGGTTAGGTTAAGTTATCCGTGATGCGGCGTGTAGAGCGGAACTTGCGGTGGCCTCGTTGGTCTTAGAGATAGAAAAACTAGGATTAAAAATTGCCCCTAAGAAAACGGAAGCAATGGCCTTCCCGACTAGTGCTGTCAGGGGCCGGACAGTCTCCATACTAGTTAAAGGTGAACTGATAAGCGTAAAAAACACCATGCGCTACTTAGGCGTCACGCTAGATGGAGATTGGACGTTTGCGCCGCATTTTGAGAATGCCATCCCTAAAGCGGAGAGAATGTTCACTGCTCTTTCTGGCATAATGCCAAATTTGAAAGGGCCAAGAGAGCAGATACGAAGGTTATATGCTAACGTGATACACTCAGTTTTATTATATGCTGCACCGGTGTGGGCGTCAGACGTAACCGGTAATAACGGAATAAAAAGGGAAATATCCAAGTTACAAAGGAAAATCTCCCTGAGATTGTGCTGTGGATATCGCACAATCTCATTCGTGGCGGCAATGATTCTGGCGCGTCAGATACCGCTAGATTTAACTGCCTTGGCTCTACGACGAGTATATATACAGTCCAAAAACTTGGAACAGGAGGGTGCACCACTGGAACACGCAGCCAAGGTAAGACTCTGTATCCAGGCCAAGCGAGAGGCCTTAACGGAATGGGAAAACAGGGTGAGGAACATATACCACACTAGCGGCCTAAGAACAACCCAGGCTATCCTTCCATGTTTCAAAAAATGGTATGAGAGGGCTGGAGGATATATTACCTTCCACAGCACTCAAATGGTCTCTGGACATGGTTGTTTCCAGGACTATTTACACAAAAGAAAAAGAGCCGCATCCTCACTATGCGAACATTGTGGAGGTGGACCGGACACAGCACAGCATACCTTGGAGTTCTGCTCGGCCTGGGAACAGGAGAGGAGGGAGCTGCGGGGTGTGCTGGACAGAAGAACCGGCCTTAGTCTGCCAACAATTATAGAGACGATTGTTGGGGACAAGGAAAAATGGAGAGCCTTCACTGCCTTCTGTGGGAGAGTAATGAGGGCCAAAGAGGAGGCGGAAAGAGAGAGAGAGAGAGAGGGCTTGGGGATAAACCTGAATATTCCCTAAAACCCCAGGGTACCTGTACCCCCATCTCTAAACAGGTGTAATGGACTCCAACACAGTCTCCAAATATTTTGAAATGTGTAAGTATGGAGCATATAAAGAGCAATTTTATGGGGAGATACTGTGTCTCTCTCCTATATACATAATAGGTGAGAATACAAACTGGGGGGGTAAACAACCCCAGAAAGAAAGCCCGAGTAGGAATGATCTCTGGAAAGAGAATAGCTGAGGGGTTCGGGGTGATGTCATACCTTTCAGGTCTTCCGCCCCAACCCCTACTTAACAGCAGGGCCTGTTTCAAACAAGGAGGGTTTTTAGCGGGTAGGTCCTCGCGGTGTCCTGACATTGGTTAGGACGAGAGCCGCGAGGGAATCCCGCAGTACGGGCTGCGGGGAGTCTTTCGAAGATTTTCCCTCCTTGACGAAAAAAAAAAAGGTTAGGTTAGGTTAGGTTCCCTTTCCCTGGCGACGATGTGCCACCTTGACGTGGTGCCAGGGCTCCCCAAAGCCGCAGATCTCCTTATCCATGTAAGAAATGTCTTTTCTGCATGGATGGGATGGAGGCTCTTGGGGCTAAGAGCACATCTAGGAGACGGACACTCCGAATATAAACCCGGGCGGGACGGGCTCGTTAGCTCTGATGGCTACCGTCCTAGTGGAAGGAAATCCACGATAAAAAACCCGGGGCCTGACCAGCCTCGTTAGCACGCTGGTGCTCCGGCATAACGGTTGGCCCCCCATTGCACGAGGGGGGGCGTGGTGTTTCATACCGTAACCCCAAGCCTGGGGCCGGGGGTCGGTGCAAGCATGGTGCTTGCACGGGCCGCGAGGGTGACTCAACCTCTATAAAAAGATCCGGGCAGGACGGGCTCGTCAGTCGTGGTAGACAACCGTCCTAGTGGAAGGAAAACCACGATAAAAAACCCGGAGAAGAAAACTCTGTCAACAAATTACATATGATGGTCTGACATGTCAGAAAAGAAAGGAAACGTACCGCAACAGGGTCTCGGATGCCCAGTTGCCGGCGCGGGAGGGGTATTGTCCCTGCCCTCACCGCGTCGTTATCTGACGAAGGGCCTGCTGCAGTGTTGTCCCCGAGCATTGCAGCGGATTCAGTTATCAGCGGGATAAACTGTCTCTTTGCGGATGCCGTGGAGATCCATGGTCGACGGTGGGCCGTATCCTCCTGGTAAACCATATGTGGTCCTGCGGCTACGTAACCGTGTTTCTCGAGAAACAAATCGGTTGGGGGATGCGAAAAGCGGAGAGCGTAGCTCTTCTGCTATGGACATCCTCAGACAGAGCAAGCACTGGAGTGACACGATCCAATTCGACGTAGTTGGATTGGATGTCATTCATGAGGCGGTCTCGATTCACTCGTATACCCAACTGCAATATATGAATGATGAGAAACACCCCCTCTACCTGGAGGCCTGCCGGATTCTACTGGCGGTCTTCGAGCTGTGTGGGGGCCATGGCCCCTACAAACAGGAGGAGAGGGAGGCGAGGGAGGACCTGAGAAACTCCGGAAGACCATGGGTGGAGAACCTCCTGGTAAGGTTCCGGGAAACGCATTGGGGGTCCGTGCCCGCTGGGGGGGAGAGGCTACACACTCCCGCCCCCACCCCCTCGGCCCTGAGGGGTGGAGCGGGAGACTCACCTGACTCCCGGGTCTCCATTTTCCCCGGAGGAGGAGATAGTGGTAGTGGGGGGGGGCTCTTCCTTCCCTGCCGTGGAGGGTCTTCCCCTCCAAGATGTACTGGGGGAGGGGTTGGTGGATTCCCTTATCAGGGGGGCCCGCAGCCTCTCCCCCGGGGCTGGTACCGGCTCGCCGCGCCCTGCGTACAGGGCGTGTGTCGAAGAGCGGTTTAGATCCTTGCGGAGGGGTCAGGGGAGGCCACGGAAGGACGGGACTGGTCCGTACAAGCCCGTCCCTCCCCTGACCATATCGGACCCTGAGTCCGATGATGATGCAGAGATGCATACGGACACCTCCACGGCGGGCAGCGCATCTGAGGGCGCTGCTGTACGGGCTGGCTCAAAGGATTCCGTAAAAGGTAAACCCGTTGCGGAAATAGTTTCGTCCTCCTTCACTGGTCTCCAGAAGAGGAGGGCGGAAGAGATTATCAGGAAGATTGAGAGGGGCTCAACCGACGAGATGCTGGAGGACATCAATCGGGAGCTCTTCTCAATCGAGGCTGTCCGCCAGAGGGCGAGCAACCTCAAAGGGAAACTGAACGGGAAACTTAAGTTCGGGGTTTACGTTCTCAGAGAGGTCGTTCGGACATTAGCCGGGCGGGCCTCTGAGGGCGGGGATCCCGGATATCTGAGGACGCGGATCCAGGCGTTGGAGGGGCTCGTGGAATCTGTTCAGGCAGAGAACGGCCGCCTCCAGCGTCGGACCCGTAAGTTGCAGGCGGATCTCGCCAACTTCCGGGCTGGCGAGAGATCCGCCTCTCCTGGGGATGGAGGTGTTCCCCCTGACATGGACAGTGCTGGGGATACAGTCATGGATGTGGTGGAGGGTGGGGGGGTGACCCCACGCCCCTCGTCAGGGGACCTCGCGGGGACCCTGGCGGAAATCGCCAAAACCTTAACAGGCTTCGGCGAAAGGTTAAAGGGCCTTGAGGAGAGGGTGGAAATGCCTCCCCCTCCTGTGCCCTCTCTCTCTTCCTGCCCCAACCATCGACCCGTCTAGCATCAACCCGGCACTAGGCCCGATGAGGAGAGTGGCGGGGATGGAGAAGAAGAGAGGGTTACCCCAACCGCCCGTAAGGGACTGGACGGCGGGAGAGAGAAGGAGGAGAAAAGGAAACGAACCTCCCCCCCCACTAACATCGGGGAGGGGGAGATCCGGAGACTGATTCCGGAGCTGCTTAATGAGTTGCTACCGGCGATCCTGGAGAGGCTGGGGTATGTCCCACCCCTGGCCACAACAACGGGGAAGGAGCTCCCCCTCCCGAGGGAGGGGAAGGGTAAGGGCAAAAGGAGGAAAAAAGCCGAAACCGTTCCCCCTCTTTCCACCGCCCCCTCCAAAGGAACCCCACGTCCGAGTCGGGATAGGGGAGAAATGGCCGCGACCCCGGTGGAACCGCCGGCTGAACGGGAGGGGAGAGTCTCCCCTCCACAGCAGCAACGGCAACGGCAGCAGCAACAGCAGAAGAGGGAACCAGCCCCCCCTCCCGCCGGCCTAAGCTATGCGGCGGCGGCGGGGAAGGAAAAAAGTGCGAGGGTGGCCCAATGGGACAAGACGAAGGCCACCGGAGGACAACGGGAGAGGAAGGGCCCGGCCCAAACCGCCCCCACGAGGACCCGAAAGACCCGGAGGCCCCTCAGCACAGCGGCGATCATCGTCACATGCTCGCCGGGGGACTATAACCGGATCTTAAGGGAGGCGAGGGGCAGGATCAGTCTTGAGGATTATGGCATTGCGCATCTGAAGCCCGGGATAGCCAGGACGGGAGCCACCCGCCTGGAAGTACCGGGCCCAGAGAGCGAAAGGAAGGCTGATGCCCTGGCCGAGACCCTTAGTAAAGCATTCCAGGGAAGGGAAGGGGTGAGGGTGGTGAGACCCACCAAGATGGGGGAGCTGCGGATCAGCGACCTCATGATGTCGATCGAACCTAGTGAGGTCGCTGAGGCCGTGGTCAGGGTGGGGGGATCTCCCCCAACACTGATACAGGTTGGACCCATTCGGCCCTCCCAAACAGGGAATGGATTGGGGGTGACATGGGTGCGGTGCCCCCTTAAGGCAGCAATTAAGGTCGAGGGGGGGGGGCGGCATCAAGATTGGGTGGAGCATTGCAAGGGTGTCCTTATTGGACGAGAGACCCTTGCAGTGCTTCAAGTGCATGGAGACGGGCCACGTGCGAGTAAATTGCACGAGCTCGTCAGACAGGAGTAACGCCTGCTACAGGTGCGGCTCCACGGGACACGTCGCCAGGAACTGTGATAACCCCGTGAGCTGCCCTGTGTGCAGGGACAAGGGACTCCCCCACACACATAGAGTGGGGGGCCAGTCCTGTAAGGCCCCTAAGAACTGGGGAAGAAGGAGAGGGGGGGCTACAATGGGTGCGGCATCGACACCAGACCCCGTACCCGGGCCTTCTGAGATCGATAGGAGGAAGACGGGGCATGAGGATAGGACGGGAGCGGTCTTGGCCCCGGCTACCGTTCATGGCACTCCAACCGAGATGGAAGTGGAAGAAGGAGGGCAGGTGGGCGTGGCCTTGGCACCCACGCCCACTCCTACCCCAGAGATGGAGGTAGATGAAGAGGGGGTGACGAGCGCGGCAAGGACCGCAGGGCTCAACGCCGCAGGGGGGACGGAAAAGGAGGCGGAGCTGGTGGGCGCGGCCTCGGAACCCGCGTCCACCCCTACAGGTGAGCCAGGAAAGGTGGCGGGAACAACGGGCGCGGACTGGGGACCCGCGTCCGCCACCGAGTGGGGGAGGAGGTGGAAGGGATGGGAGGGGGGACGACCCATACACTCGACCAGAAAGGAGCCCCCTCCGAATATCTGAAGGGTGTGTCTCCTCCCCGGGAAACGGCCGGGGGGCCACTGGAACAGAGACCGACGGCGAGCCACGCGCGGCGAAGGAGAGAGCGCGCAACAGGAGCTGCAACAACAACAGCAGCGGCGGAGGAAAAGAAGGTCCCGTGCGTCATTCTGGAGGATTCTGAGTAGACCAATTCCCGTCTACCAGGATCCTCCAAGTGAATGTGAACCACTCCGCCATGGCAATGGATCTCTTCCATCAAAACATGGCGGAGGGTGGGTTCGAGCTGGGGGTGGTCTCCGAGCCGTACCGAGTACCGGAGGACCACCCCAATTGGTTCACGGACCCGACGAGGGAGAGGGTCGCCGTTTTTTGGAGGCCCCCGAAGGATTCCCGCCCGTGCTCCAAGATAGGAGACGGGCCCGGTTTTGTGGTGGTCGAGTGGGGGGACTGGTTTGTCCTGGGGTGTTACGCCCCACCTAGTTGGAAGCTCCCCGCCTTTAAG